TGGCCGAAAATAGTTTAGAGAATTTATGTCAGTAACAATTTTATAAAGCCGCAAAGTGATATGATTAAGATAATTAAGAAAATAATAACTATTAAATTGTCTAAACTCTTCGTCGCTTGAAGTTCCCTGTACATAAACACACTTTAATAGCTTTTTAAAGTATAAACTTTCTTAATCATAGTTTGGAATAAAAACAAAGAATATTGCTACAAAGTGGACGTGTTTTCGGTATCTAAACAAATAATTATACAGAAATAGTTATTGCGTGTTAAGGCACTGAAGTGTAAATTTTTATCATGAAAAGGTGTACATATTTTTTTTTCTGCGCAGAAATTATATATAACTTGAAAAGAAGTAAGCTTCAAGCTTACGATCGACGTCCCGATAAATGTAATATCTATGTTGTAACGACAAGCTGCGCGTTAGACTGACAGGTTGCATCACAGCAACATTGTACAGAGCTTTCGTAAATGTTTTGTACATCTAGTGACCTATGAAATTAACAATTGCTGTTGATTTACCACTTCTTAGTAATGGTAGATACATATTTTTACAGTTTTAGATAATTAATATGATTAATATCTCATTTGTCGGAATAATTATGACATTTGAACTTGCGTTGCCAAGTTGCCGTTATAGTTATTTACACACTCCAAAAGAGGCGGAACAAATCAGTGCCCACTTGGACTTGGAACATAATTTTACTATTTCAAAGATTGTTTAAAAAATTATTAAACATACGGCATTGATGATAATTTTACATTTCTGTCTAGGCGAAAACAAGAAAAACCGAAAATGATTTAATTCAGTTAAGAGTGGATGTTTGTTTTTGATATAGTACAAAGATGAGCAGTAGATTACAAGTACATGTGTGGTTGTACCTACGGAAATAATTAACATTCAGCACAATATAATAGATTGCTGTTTATGCGTATTATGCATGGATACTGTTGCAGTCATTTGCAATTTCTAGATTAGGGATAGGCCACGCTTAAAAGAAAACAGCTGATTTATATAACCTTGGATGAGTGAACCTTGTAAATTGTCGATAATAACATTGCAACATCGCTTTGATAAATTAAACAAAAAAATATAGTAGTCATATTTTCTTGTAATTACTTTACGGAAACTAGAAATCAACATATACAACCCACTAAGTAGTTGTTATTGTAGATAAATATTAGAAAACGTAATAATAAGCAAACACACTAATAACTACTGGACATTAAAAATAAATGGTTTATTAGAATGTACTCTACAAGTAGAAGAACGTAAGACGTAAGATTACATACTTTACCACTGAATAAGAAGCTTAAAACATAAATATACCTAATTGTGTATCTGCTAAAGTAAAAATAATTATATATAAAAATAGTACCACAAGTACTGTAGCAAATGTTAAAAAATCTTATTTTTTTTGTTAAAATCGTACATAGGTAGGTAAAATGTGACGCAAATTTCATTTTATTTTTTATTGTTGCGCTTACATTTTCTTTGCGGTAGTTTGTATAATAACTGGACTAGTGTCAAATTATAAATATACATCTAGGTGTGCTTGGCCGTGACAGTGCTTTTCACATCTGGCAGTACGTTTGACCTGCAGGAATTTACGTGATTACGAAATAATGATACTTTGGCAAAACTTTCCAAAGATAATAATAATAATAATAATAATTATGAAACATTTAGTAGGTAGCGCGAAGCTTATGGCTAACAATAAAAAGAAATGTTTTATGATTTTCATAATTTGAGTTCTATGTCCGGCATTTGCTTTATAAAAAGTGATTGTTACAATCAGCAGGAAATTTGAAACTTTGGTATTGTTTAAAACTCTATTGGTAACACGCTGAACTGGGATGGGTTTTGGTGAAACATTTCTGTCAGAATTTTATATTTGAGTAGAAAGCTTGAAATGAGAGAAGATAATTATGTTTTAACATAATTTAAGGGTTGTTCTTTAAACACTTTGTAACAATCCGTTGAATAAACGTCATTAATTTTGTAGCACAGGGAAGTTCGTGTTGATTTTTTAATTGTCTCTGAAAATACGTACTAGTTTAAATAATATGATAAAGCATCTATAGATGTGGTAAGAAAATACTATCTGATGTTGGTATTGCACACCTAGAAACAAATCACAGTTTTATGTAATGTAGATAAAAAACTGTTAAAATTTAATTCAGCTAAAAACATATGCAACACTATATACACGGTTTCTACATTATTTGCATAAGAAGCTCTCTGTTTTAATATGTTATTGTTCGTGTAATAATACTACAGTGCACATTTACGTGTACAGAAGTACTTAATCATGCCATTAATTTAATCATTTAATTAAATGCTCACGTGATCAACGTCAACCAGTCCAGTGTTCAGGTTAGATTCACGCCGTTAATCGCACTGTACAATACAATATAATTCATTTACCATAAACCGATTCCAAGTGTTTGATCAAGATTTAATTGCAATTAATTATTAAGGTTAGTGAATAAAACACGAGAGTTGAGCAATAATTCTTGAGTTTCGTTAAGTTTAAAACATTTTTTTTTGTATGTTAATCTCCTACTTAAAAATGATTCAAAAGTTTTTCCTTAATGTAACCCGTTATCGAACTTCATTTATTTCAATATTATCGATTTCGTGCAAATTATGAAAATACAATTGCCTACTAACTGAATCTTCTGGTGGTATGAAGCGTCGAGAAAACAACAAATTATGGTAATTCGTCAAATGGACCTTATTACAGGGTTACGCTCGAGAAGTAAAAAATTAAAATTTTCTCTTGTTCTGTTGTGTTATTTATCGGCCCTTATTCATGAAGCATTAAAGATACAAAGTGATAAATTATTGCTGCTTTGTATTATCTCACTGCATAGACTTTTTAGAGGGATTCGGGTTAAGCACCAGAATCTAAATTCGGTACTGGAATACATGAGAAAAAATCTGCGTGATTCCGATTTCTTCAGACAAGTAGCCAACCTTCCCTGGATGGAAATTTAGGGTATGTGGGTTGTTTAAAAATTGGGAAATGCATTAATTTGCATAGCGCACAGTGGTTTTAAGTTATTTAGTTTTTGCTTACAAAAGGCGATTTTGTTAAAGGAATTTTTTCGAATTGTGATCTAGTTACCCAAGAATTTGTTGAGAAAACAAATTCGACCGAAAAGTAGGTCGTACCTTGATATAGGTTTTAATAAAAAAATATATATATAATATATTTATTGAATTTAACACGTGATTCACTTTGTTCTTAAAAATGTACATTTGTGATGCATTCCCAATTTCACATATCCTGAATATGAGTTGTCTATAGATGAACTTAGAAAACTCGGTTATGTCAACAAGAATTAAACCTCTGTTAGATTTAAATGCTTTATTTATGATAACTAACATATTTAGTTGAATCACAACAATTTTTGGAAATACAACAATTGCTGGAAACAATTTTTGGAACTACAACAATTGTTGGGAGTGTTGGTCCCCAACTTCAATACATAAGTTGACTCGGCGTTTCATATTTTCAAATACTCTAGCAAGAACTTCCGATAATATACATTCACACTCTTGCATGATTCTCACTTTTAGGTCTCCAATTGTTTTCATTGATCGAGTTGGACAGATATGGTCTGTGTGGAAGCTAATTAAAGGTCGCCATAAAATTCCCTTAGAGAGTTCAAACTTATTTGAGTTGTCTGAGCTGTTGCATCGTCATGCTGAAAATGTCAATTCTGCAATTCTTCAGGATCAAGCTAGTCGATAATCCCTGCAGCATGTTCTGATATCTCGCAGCTGTAACTAAATTCTCGAAGAAAATAGATTCAAACAGTCTTCTTTCAGAAATGGCACACCAAACTCCAATTTTTGTGAGCGTAGTGGCGCTTCTTCAAAATAATGAGGATTTTCTGGATTCCACATCCCCATATTTTGGAAGTTTATATACCCTTATAGATAAAACTAGACTTGATCACAGTTACAATAAGTCATTCTCTTTTCATAATCAGGTAGTTTAAGTTCTTGAATCACCTGGATTTTGTAAGGAAACAATGTCATTTTCAGTAGCTTCGATAGTTCGTTTGTCAAAGTGCGACTTCCTGATTTCCTTTTAATGCTACCAGTCTCACAAAATAATTTTATCACATAACTGAGTGATCTTAAAAACTTAGCTTCAAAAACAGCGACATATTAGGGGATTTTTCTTCGAAATTCCTGAAAATAGGGTCGGGCTTCAAACACACATTCACTTACTGGCCTACTCAAGCATGAATTTCCTATGATCTTCAGAGAACATTTTTCTCTATATGAAAATTCTGCATTTGTGTCAAAACCCACTTTGATAGTTTTGATTTATTTACTGTCAGATAAAGATAATAATATAATATAGGTTTAAAAAAGATCTAGGTACGTCATTTGGTGACAGGGGAAACTATGTCTATATCACAAATCAAAATAATCACATGGTATAAGTGATGTGAAAACCCAAGAGTTCATTAATTATTATATTGTCTTGTCATTGGTTTTAAATAAGATTTTTTCTATTATAATTTTAATACATTATTTTTATGATCGAATTTCGAAATCTTGGATTCCTAATAAAATCACCCTTCTAAGCACTAATATAGATTTACTCCTTTTTCACATTTCCTCCTAAAACAAAAATACAACCTTTACATTAATTAATAACATTTTTCAAAAAGTTCAGCGAATTAAAAATCAGACTAAGTACATAGCTTCTATTATCATACTGATTACACCACTTTAAAAATCTTTAATTAACATTTGTTCGCCCCAGTTCCGGATCACACAACAGTTTTGTATTTTTAACCACATCGCTAATTTTAATGAAGTGATTTAGACTAAAGTGGATCATTGTTAAAGCTTTAATTAATTATTAGGAGTATCAATCAATAAACAAAGGTACAAAGATAATACCACTTATTTTGTGCTAATCGGAGTGTCTGTGACCTCCATCTTTATTAACTTTTATTTGTTTTTCAGTTTATATTTCCAAACGTCATTAATAGTCGTTGTCCGTTCTGTTTTGCCGGTAATTTTGTGTTCACTTTTGACATGAAATGTCTTTGTACTCGGTTTCGGTTTTGAGATAGTGCCGTATTAACATGAATTTCGCATTAGCCACGAGGTATGTGTAAACAAGTGTAAATGTCATGACTTTACAAGGTGTCAAGCGTAAAGTTGTCAGTGTGGGCGACTTCCGCTTTACGGGACGCCTGCTAGGAAAGGGAAACTTCGCCAGAGTTGAGGAGGCAGTCCACAACATTCTCAACGTCAAGGTAAGTGTTGCTGTTTACTTTACTTGAATGGAAATAGAATTCATTTAAAAATATACAAAAGACGTCCATTTTCGTATAATACCGCAGCTTTTAGCTTTATTATATATTTTATTTATTAATTTATTATGTTTGGTGTTGTGAGGGAAATAAGCTCAGCTTAATTTTATGTGTAACATAATTTCAAGCGAAGAACTTTACCAATAAAAGAATTTTTGTGATGAATTGGTTGTTTTGGCGTTTGGGAAATATTGGGGATTAGAATAAATAATAGCTCTATTGTACCCAACTCGATAAAAGCTATAATAACCCCACGTAAATTATAACGGCAATATTAAATAGGCTGTTGACATTGTATGAATAGGGCCGTTAAAATATTGGTTCATTTTTATATTAAACAGCTTTATAACATGCCATTGTTAGATTATTGTACATTACTCGCTTTGGTATAACTTTAGCCTGATAATGATATTCGAAAAACGAATAAATCACATTCTGTTGATCTGCAAAATAAGTTAAAAAAATTACCTTTCAAAGTAAATTAACAAGAACGGTTTCGTAGTCTGCGGTTCACACAATACACACAGTTATGATTGAAATAATGAAACTTCGATATTTGCAAAAATTTCCAGCAGCTCCACAAGTCAGACTCATACTGTTTTGATATTTTATTTTAGTAATTTCCGGCATTAACTATTTCCGAAGACTGTAAGCTCGAAGCTCAGGTGCAAATATTGACTTTACTCAATTTTGTATCACGCGGTGGTGATTTTTCTCAATGATTTAAAACATTGCCAGCATGATTAAAATTTAGAAAAACAAAAGTGACAACTGATAAATCTAATTTTAGGATTTACTGTACAGTAAGCTGACATTCTTTTAGAATGAAAAACGATACTCTGTTTGATCAGTGAATAAGCATGATACGGTATACATCAGGTGATACCGAAAAAACAATATAAAATTTTGAATGGTTTCATAACTATTCTGGCATTTTTTTATACCATAAAGGCTACTCGTGTTGTTGGAAATCAGTCTTCAAAAACATTTAATGATAAAAACTTTGAGCAGGAGTTTAAAATGTATTAGGGTTGAGTGCAAGGGCACTACTGTTGGATTAAAAACACCTGCATAATTCATTACACCAGTGAGTATTGGTGTAATGAAATAAGAATACAGGAGACTATATCTACAATTTTTAGAGGCACGGGTAATTAGAAATAATAATAGGGCATACTGTGGTGCATTTAAAAAAGGCACAAATAAACTTCGCTACGTTACTATTAAGTGTTCTTGAATGGAAGCTGGGATGTTTCAATTTTCTGGTCGATATACTTTTCAGTTTCCGTCTAAATGAGGAAAAGTATGGTAAAATTAATTAAAATTGTAGGCAGGTATAGCGGTTTTGTTCCAGATGTTATAGATAAGATAATTAATAAGTTTAAATTTAAAAAACTATTATTCAAAAAGATAAGCCATATTTCCTGTTAAGTGTATCAATTATAGAAGTACATATATTAAACGTAAATAATAAATTTACATTAAATAGAGTTGTTGATAAAATTGTTGATACAACACATATAATAGCTTAATTCTTGTAGGGTATACTAGTGGCATGTCTAGTTCTTTTTGGTTTTATAAGCAGTTATAATTATTTTTTAATAACAAATTATTATAGAAATATATCGGTTAATCCGTTGTCACTGAATATTGTCCTGCGTGTTTTTGGGATTTTTGCACATTTTTGAAGGTCATCCAACCTTGAGTGTTTTTTAACGTGTTTGAATTTTCTTTAAATTTATATGCCGAAATACAATGGTCATTCCAAACAACCGGAGGACTCTTATTCGATCTGTCGGAGTACGATATCATGTGGTTGGCCGGTTGGCGACACACGTCGACAACTTTGGTGATTTTTGTTTTTCCGGTAATACACCTTATACCAACCAAAGTGGAAGCAGTGTATCAACAGCAAGTTTCTTTCCGAAGGATAACTGAAAATTGCGCGATGGAGTGATGGCGTGATGATACTTGCTAGAAAAAATCGAATGAAGTTGCTACTTTATGTTCGGTGCTGACAGTCTGAATTAATAAAAGGGAGGTCTGAACACTCTTTATTACAAATGTATTATAATTTAAATTCAGAAGTTATTAGAAAGCTTTTGTAAACAAAGACGAGAACGTTTATTCAAATTAGTGAAAATTGTTGTTTCTTGTTTTAATTATTTATATGATGAGATTTTGTAATATGGTTATGGTTAGATTCAAGTTGAAATCTTTTATGAATTACTTCTACGCGAAAGCATGGACAATATTTTATTGTGCCATTAATTTTTTAGCAATTTGGTAAGAAGTTACGTTATTGTAGCATCCTATGTACAGTTGTTATACAAATAATTTAAATGCAAAGTAGAACATTTATAAAGATAAATGGCAATAAAAATGACATTACCCAGTACTAGTATTATATTGTTAGGCCATAAAGATCGAATAACATGAATTTTATTATTTGGAAATGAGTACGCAGTACACTGTTATAATTTCAATTTCGGTATTACTACATAAAAACTACAAAATGTTCCTTTAAAGCAATTTATCCACATTTTAGCATTTTTATAAAGCAGATTTCGTTGCGGGAGTGCATCTGCAATATCACCACGGTGCAATTCGACGCCGTTACCACTACACCCGTCGCGCCTTGATGAGAGCAGAAGAATAATTCCGGCGCTACATCAACATTTTATGGACACATTGGAGGCATTGTTCCGCAACAAACGATGCCACATATTTTCAGTCAGATAAATGCTGTCTGTGGTCAGATCAGGCGGCGTTTTATTATATTTGATGGGGCGACGAAAGAAGATCATCACTCTTGGGGGTGATCTCGTTTTCCTTACATAATAGAAAGAACCAGTTCAATATTTGACGCACCCAGCACTCGATAAATCTCCCCTGTTTCTCTCGCAAAAGGTGTAGCATACATCGAGGATGTCCCTGCAGTTTGATGCTAACAGAAGTGGTTCAGATCATCATGAATTAAAAATCTGGAAAAAGGATTAATTAATTTCTTTCAAAAAAGTTGAAGTACCTGTTATATGCTTACAACAAGTCGGTGATATTAACATTTAAATCTTTACTATTGATTTGTTTGATTAAAATTGCCTGTTTATCACCATTTTCACTTTGCGTTAAACTTTTATGTATCAAATACATTTCGAGAAGTGATATTGCTTTTGATTATTCTTCTTTTATTTAAAATGTCAATGTAAGGAAAATCCAGTGTAAAGTAATTTTATGGATTTCTTCATTAATGTTTTGGAAGATCAATTTAACACTTTCAAACAGTTTGCATATTTATTCCTCGCATTACTAACCAAATTTAAATGAAAATTAGTTATGCATAATGCAAATAGAATAGGTAAATACACTATCCGCGAATTAATTGGGAGTTGATATTGGAGCAATTGATCAGGATTCACCTGTGGGCTATGCATCATGATTGCACATTATGTCGGACTATATAATTACATTGCTATGATTGACCGGACATTGATGAGGTGCTTCAATAATCCTACAGAGCGTTAATGCAAGACTAAATTTGTCACAACAATGAAGAGAGTAGAACAATTAATCTCATTACATCAGCTCTGATTTACAGATTTAACACTGTAGCAAGATTGTTTACAAGAAATTTTACAAGTGTATCAAACTATATGTAAGTGTATACTAAAGCGTAAAAAACGGTTTCCCGTAGGTTTCGTTTTCATGTGTTAGTGTTTAATACACACACATTATTTAAAATAGTATTTTATATTATAAGTGAGGGAAATGCTATATTATAAGCGAGTGAGAATATAGGGTCATGAGCGCGTTGGCGCGAATGATACTGCTCTCACGAGACACGGGACATGACATTTCTTCAAAAATCAATTTCTTAAGCCACTAGACTCAGCAGCATTCGAATTACCTAGAGTAAATATAGCAGGTAGGTAGATATAATGCCTCTTTCATACGGGTCTATGATAATAATATGATCTATAATTGTGACTCTTAAACCGTTATTTAAGACGCCCTTCGTAATCAAATGTTCCAAGTTACTTTAGAAGAATTACTAGCGACGAGAATTATTCAAATAAATACAATTTAAATAGATATTATAAGGTACGAGACAAAAAATTATCACGGCGCAAAATTTTTACCTAAATGTATTAAAAGAAAGTGAAGATACCTGGTTGATAGAGCGATCCCATTTTTAATTAATTTAATAAAACATTTTTACAGAAAACACAAAACTGAACGAAATTTATTGAAAATAAGTAATTTTGTTAAAAGACTTATATTGTGACAAATTATTATCACGCTTAAAAGGGAAATAACTAACTAACAAAATGAAAACTAATTTAATACCTAATGTATTTTCCACCTGCTTCTATGAGATTATAGACTCGTTGCTTCATATAATTGACCAAATGGATAAAGTAATTGACATCCAAATTCTCCCAAACCGTCAAGATACCATGTTTCAATTCATTAACTGTTGCGTACTGCTTCCCATCTTTATAAACCTCTCGTACAAGAGAACCCCATACATTCTCAATAGGGTTGAGATCCGGGCTTTTCGTAGGCCATGGTAGCAAAGCTATATTTTGTCGTTGAAACCACGTTTTCGATGAATTAAACACATGAATCGACGCATTATCTTGCTGAAAAATCACTTTGCTGTCTTGAAATAGGTTCAAATGTGGTTTGAGGTGCACTTCCAACACATCTTGGTAATCCAGAGAGTCCATTCGATTTGAAATAAATGCTAAGTTAGTATTTCCTAAGCTACTAAAGGCACCCCAGACCATAATATTGCCACCTCCTTGGACTCGTTTCGACAAGTATTTAGGTTCTTCCGTAAATCGTGCCAATATTAATATCTAAAACCATCAGGACCATCAAGATTAAATTTCTTTTTATTTGAAAAAACTGTCTAGAACCATTCTTCATTTTTCATCTGC